GCTGCCCCCCTGCAGCCGCTGCTGGCTTTCGCGGGCTCTGCGGCCGGAGATCAAACGGAGCTCAGTACACGAGCTCCGTTTGATCTCTTCTGAATGCAGGCAGTGATGTGTATTACATCACTTCCTGCATTCAGTGTCACTCTCCGATACAGAAACCGGAGAGAAGCTGGTGAAGCAGGTCTCTGCTTCATCAGCTTCTCTGGCGGTCCCTAGGTGACATTAAAGACCGCTGATGTCTCCATAAAGGTGGGGTCTTAAAGACCGCTGATGTCTCCATAAAGAGGACCTGTCACTGAAAATTGGCTATCACAAAGGGGGCTTGTTAGTCCCCTATGTGATAGCAATAAAGTTAAGTGAAAAAAATTGTTTAAAATAATTAGTTACAAAAAAAATATTAAAAAAATGAAAAGTCACATATAAAGGTAATAAAAAAAATGTAAACATTTTTTTAAAGTCCCCCGCCCCCCACATAAACATGCAAACATGCGTCGAGTCCGCCAAAGTGCGTAAACGACGATTGCATCCATTACGCCGCACATGTTACGTATCGCCGCGAACGTCGCAGTGAGAGCAATCATTTTAGGGCCATCAATCACTGATGACACTAAACTGAAAAAAAAGCTTTTTAAGCGTCACCTATGGCCAATTTTGGGTATGGTAGTTTTTGTGAGTTCGTGGATGCACGCAATTTTAAAGCTTAACATGTTTGGTGTCTATTTACCCGACGTGACCCCGTCTTTTATATTTTGCCAAAAATGTGGGTAATAATAACTGTTTTATAACATAACGTAGGGAGAACAGTTTTTTTTCCAAATTTTCTGTACTTTTTTCATTATATAGTAAAAGATAAAAACCCCAGTGGTGATTAAATACCACCAAAAGAAAGCTCTATCTGTCCCCCAAAAAATGGTATAAAAATAATTTCAGTACAGCGTTGCGTGACGGAATAAATGTCAGTCAAAGTACCGCTGAACACTGAAAAATGGCCTGGACAGGAAGGCTCCTATTTCTTGTCTCCACAGGAGATACCTTATAGAAACTCTTAGTTAATGGCAGCCAATGTTTTTAGGAGCCATAACCTGTGATGGTCTGTGCCAACTGTCTGAATGCATTACTTCCCTATCTCATCCCATCCTACCTTATCTGCCGGTCTAATCACCATAGATGTATTCTGTTTCAACCTGTTCAAAGCCTATTGCTCCCTGCTGTTTAAAATGGGGATATGTTCTCTTTTATTTCTATAGCTGAACTCAAATGAATCAAAATAATGCAGCTCTGTCATCAATAATACATCATTAAATGTATTTAAAAATGCAAGTACCTGAATTTGATTTGGCACCTGAATTTGATACCTATTGTCCATGTACAGCAGAGCTTAGACTGTGCAAAGGCAAAGCAGCACTAGAAGTCAGTCAGTTGTGATAACCTGGAACATGCTGAAAGGAGGAGGGAGCAGAGTGGCAGAGAGATGAGCTTGTCAGTCTGCTGCTTCTTCTTCATTGTCCACGCACAGCCTGGGGGAGGGACAAGACCTGTGAGTGTTACTCAACGTTAACAGACAAGGTCTCTTCTCCTGCCAGACAAGACTGTGCAGTGTGGCAGAACAGTGTGAATCCCAGGACTTGCTGCAAATACAAATCCTTTGGCAGGTAAAACAACTCATATATCTATATACAGTCTATCTATCTATCTATCTATCTATCTATCTATCTATCTATCTATCTATCTATCTATCTATCTATCTATATAGATAAAACTCTTCTACCCCCTGGTTGAACTTCATCAATTGTATACATTGTCTTTTTCACTTGTGTCAGTTTCTTAAAGCAACCTGTTCTAGGAACATCAAGCATAAAAAAATTTGGGTGAATTACAAACTTACCTTTGCCCCACCCCACCCGCACTGCAAGGGTTAAGTTATCATTTTGTCTAGGGGCGGGTTAATAAACAGCAGACTACCAGACCCTTGATCCGAGCACTGGCAGGGCAGGAAAGGGGGTGGGGGGGACATCAGGGAGCCGCTATCTTATAGTGGCAGACTCCAGGAATGTCCGGGAGACTTGAGATGTCTGGATAAGAAGACCCCTTAGCGTAGTATAACATTTTTGTTAAAGTGCAATTGAAGCTAATGTTTTTATGTTTTGGATGGAGTGGAGAATGATTAGACATCCTGTCAGGTTTTTATTGCTGTCCGTGTCCCCATTAGGGAGATTCACCCTCTCCATGTGTCCTGGCTAACACTGAACGTGAAAGAAAATCACAAATTTAAGGGTTGTCATCAGAACAGGAATAGATGGGAAATCTTCCAATAGGGACACAGGTTCTGGGGATCCCCAGGGATTGTCCTCACTTTAGATGGATTTCCTCTCATTTCCTGTTGTGGCTAATGGACAGGAAGTAAAAGGAAATCCGCCCCCAATGGGACACAAATGGCAAAAAAAAATTGATGGGGGTTATAACCCTTCCTTACTCTATCCAAAAGTTAAAAAAAAAAAAGTTTTGGCTTTGGTTCTACGTGAAATAATATATTTATAGAGGTCTATACATCAGACAATTGACAAAAGGATGATGGGGAGTTTTTGTTCCAAAAGAGGGAAGGTTGGGAACTATGGCTAATGTATTCATACAATCATGCTTATAAAAATAACTATATTAAATTATACAGATTTGTATGTAAAGATCACAGAGTACAATGGGATGCGGTCTCTTCTCACCGTTATACTCAATATTCCATTGTTACATTTTTAGAAGAATTGTCCCAGCTTTCCCTTTCTTACTTTTCATTCTTAAGCTTCAATGACATTCATTTAGAAACTCCCCGCTAATCTATAATAAAACGAGAGTTTTCAAGGTCACATTAGTGTTGAAGAGCTGTGGGACAGACTCGCAGGGACTGACAGAGGTGAGAACAAGAGACAGGAAAGTTGATTCAACCGGATAGAAAGGAGCCGCTGCCGTTCACACAAATGATTGGAGAGGGGCTTTAATAGCGTGGAATAATATAGAAGAGACATCCTATATCTCCGGCTTCCTCTGCTGAGTGCAAGGAATGATATAACTGACAGATAAAAGTCTCGGGATTCTCATAACCCAATTTAAACCTGTGTGAACCTGTGAACTCCTAAGATGTCTCCCTGTGAAATAAACCACATTTCTTGTTATAAGAAGAGCGGCAAGTAACATTCAGTTCTGTGCTACAGCAATAGTAGAATATAAGGGCATTTTATACTGTTAATGTTCCATATTTATTAAAAATATTGTCAGCATATGTGTTATGTGTACTATCTATCTATCTCTCTATCTCAGGGGCGTCCCCAAGGGTGGTGTCACCCGGAACGGTCGACAGGTGACACCCCGCTGGGACCTCATCACGCATGCGCATTGTCATCACGCACGTGCAACTTTCGGGCCTTCGGTTCATGACCAAGTGCCCGACTTTTCAGAGGGGGTGACACCAAAATGATTGTCAGTCACTATAACCCAGTGCGGGCCGCACCCCCCGCACCCTCCTTGTGATGCCACCATCATGTATCTACAGTATATCTCTATCTATCTATATCTCAGGGTTGTCCCCAGGTGTGGTGTTACCCAGAACAGCCGTTGGGTGACACCCCACTAGGACGACATCACATATGAGCGACCTCATCAGGCACGTGCGTGATGACATCACGTGTGCTTACCTGCCGGTGGCCATCTTGGTAGAGAGGAGGGGACATGTGCAACTGTCGGGCTTCCAGTCCGTGAGCGAGTGCCCGGCTTTTCAGAGGGGGTGGCACCAAAATGAGTGTCAGTGATTTTGGTGTCACCCCCTCCAATGGTGTCACCCGTTGCGGGCCGCACTCCCTGCACCCGTCTTGTGATGCCACCAACATGTATCTACAGTATATCAGTATCTGTATCTATCCATCTATCTATCTATTACTATTCAGACACATAACATACTTACAGACGAACTCCAGAGATTTTTTCATTAAGTCTTGCAGTGGGACTACCCCCTCACTGCAAGGGTTAAGTGCTCGTTTGTGTCTAGGTGGAAAAAAAGTTAGACTCATCCAAAGCTCCAAGCCAGCTTCTTCTTAAACCGGTCCTTCCAGTGTCTCTCCCCCTCCTCTGCAGCAGTCTAAGGTCCCGTAAATCATCAATGTCTATACTCAGTGTATAGACATGGGGACGCTGAAGAAGATAGTCCATCACGGGAGCGAGCTTGGAGCGGTGGCTACTTTACAGCACACACAGGGACCATGGGGAACAACAGTAGCCAGCCTCCAGAAGGAAGGACAGTGTCAGCACCAATTCAGAGATGATTTGAGGATCTACAGACAGGTGATACACAAATAAAATACAGTATTGTGAATAGTTAAGGTACTTGAATGCATTTTTAAGGTTTTGACTCCTGAGTTTAGGGTCATTCAAAGGAGCTAATGACAGATGAGCTATTGTAATGACAGGTGGCAACCTCTTGTGGATGAAAGTGAGAACTACAAGTCTAACACCCTGTTACAACCTTACTAAATATAACTATTATTATGGCAAATAGCACTGGTGATACAGCTTAGAAATTGAGCATTTCACATTCAAGCAGCCACAGCCACTGACGGAGCTCTATGTGGAAATGTGGAGAAATATTAGCTGAATGACGGACCTTATCTCACTGTTACAAACAGGTAACATTAGGATGCCCATTAATGGACTGATCCCATCTCCAATTCAGTGGTCTGATGCAGTGGCTGGGCCATTCAGAGCTACCCTAGGGGCCAATAAAGAGCCGTGGAAATAGTAATTATCGCTTTGTGTAGTTCTATGATGCTGATGTATAATGCTGATACTTCTCACTTTAGAAACAGGGATAAAAATGTGCCACTTTGGAAGCCCCTCTTTAACTCATTGGCTGCACAGTGGAGTGTAGAATAAAGAGGCCCATTATATATACGTTCATGTAACATGCTGATTGGTTTGCATTTGTTATTGCGATGTGATTGATTGATCCTCTGTCCTCGCAGTGTTCCACAACCTGTGGTCTTGGGGCTTTTTGGAGAAATGTTGATTGCAGCACAGGAACTGACACCGACTGTGGACACATTAGAAAGCCTGATCCTGCAAGAAGATGTCACCTCCGCCCATGTGCGAGCTGGAAAACTGGAAATTGGAGTAGGGTAATTTTACACTTTTAAAATATACTTTATATAGATAATTTTCAGGAGTTACACGGGTTTGTATATATGCAATGAGAAGGGTTTGCATATGCACTCTTGTGCTTTTTGTTTAGAACAGGAAGATTAAAGTCCATCTGTAGGCATTTGTTTTCCTCTTTCAATGTCTTCAGCATTTTCTAATTCACTTAAAATATATAAAGAAATAATAAACAAAATTGAAAACATATCAAATTAAAGTTTCCCTTTAATGAAAATTGTAAAAAAATAATAGTCACTAGGACAAAGAGAGAGGGTGACAGCAGGGACACACACCGCAAAGCAAAACCGATAGGGTTGCTTGCCCTTCTTCAAAACCAAATAAAAAGGTTGGCTCTAGATATGCTATAAAATGTTTTCCTAAACCTTTTACAATGGAGGCATAAGAAAAATGTTAAATCTACTGTTCAGGGTACATTGGCATGATCAGGAAGTTGTAGACGTTATAATAAATAAATACAAAGAGAATTTGCCAAGTGATGTTGGTGCCAGAACCTTTAGACAGTAGATCAATCTGCTCAGCGAACCCCTAGCAACTTCTGAAGGACCCCTAGTCTTCCACAGAACAAAGGATGTCCTATGTTTTTTATAAAAGCTGAATGGGAAGCTGTAAAAAAAAATATAAGCCAATCAGATTTCATTTTATCCCAGTCAGATCAGTTAAGAGATGCTTTGCTGATCGGCTAATTTAGGATATTCCAGTTCACACACCATTATTTGTTCATGCGGTCCAGAGGTAAGATAATGGAGCTCAGAAATATTCACAGTAACCCTCTCTTCTCTCTTGGTGCACAGTGCTCTACAAACTGCGGTGGTGGATTTATGACAAGGGAAGTGCAATGCATGGATATGCGTGAAAACCGACCTCTGAGGCCCTTTCATTGCCAGTCCCCGGGACACAACCCTGTGCAGAACATTTCCTGCAACCCTGAGCCTTGCTTGTCGTGGCTTGCCAAACCCTGGAGCGAGGTAGAGAACCATTATTGCCTTATTACAAATGGATCAGTATTAAAGGAGCATGTTGGTTGCCACCAGGTCCAGAACAACCATTAGGCACAGCAAGATTGAGCATATAGTTATTATTTCCTGTATAGTTGTTAGCTCCACGTTCATTTTTATATCTTTGGCAGAAATAAAGTGCTTTAGATTTATTTACACATTGTGACAGTATTCTAAGCTAGGCTAAGACCAGGATATCAAGAACATGCTCTAGGTAATAAATGTGATCCTAGCAGAGGCATTTTACTTTGGCCACCATAGCAGTGGTAGGCAAACCTCTGCCCTCCAACTGAAGGATGAGTGCCCATAGCAGTGGTAGGCAAACCTCGGCCCTCCAACTGTGGTGAAACTACAAATCTCATTAAGTATTGCAAGACTCTTGACAGTCACAGGAATGACTTTCAGGGGCAGATGCATGATGGCATTCACCACAGCTGGAGGCCCGAAGTTTGCCTAACCCTGGCTACTGCAAACAGTGGTGACATCATTTTGAGGGCACCATGTTGACCAAGTTTTTTTTAGCATTCACTGGAGCCTGTAATAGCAGCTAAAGTGCAGTAAGTGGAGTGGAGTTTTTATAATAATAATAATTATTATTATTATACAGGATTTATTTAGCGCCAACAGTTTGCAGAGCTTAAAAAAATAAAAGGAGACTGTATAATTACAATACAACTCAATGCAGAAGGGTTAAGAGTGCCCTGCTCATGACAAGGCTTACAATCAAAATGGGGGAGCAAGTGATACAAATGGTATTAATTGGGAGGGATGCGCTGGTAGAGAAAATAAAAGTAGTTTCCATTACAAAGATTAAAATGTATGTTGATAAACCTTAATAGGTATGAACTTCAGGTGGTTCTGAAAGCATTTTTACCAGTATTGAAATATTCCTAAGCTTTTTTATGCTGATTAGTGTCAGGCCTTTAATGTCAACCTCTACTCAAATGTTTACTTAAAGCAATACTCATCCTTGCTGCAATAGAAAAAATAAGAGCTGAAATACTTCCTTTTCTTGGAGAAAACCTTCCTGCAGGTCCCCTCAAGTGCTGGTCACGTAACCAAACGTCTAGGCCAGGGGTCACTAAATGGCGGACCAGACACTGATCAAGTGGATGACCCAGTGCAGGCCCGCCTCCACTTCAGTCATTTGTTGCTAGGACCGCTGGTGTCCTGGCAGCCAATGAGGTCAGGCTGGCACGGTCAGCTTGTGAACTACAAGAGATCAGATCACTTATACTAGCCTGGGATCATGCCACCCCCAAGCCTCCACACTCCCCTACCATGGTTTTCATGGTCCCCTGCTCCTCCTCAAGGGGGCCCGGGATCATGGCAGAGGGTATCAGGATGGAGAGTGGGAGCAGACTCAGGAACGTCCATTCCCCGGTCTGCTCTGTGAACAATGAAGCAGGGAGCACTGTATTCTCAGCACATGGTGCTTCAGAGCTGTCAGAAGCCGGCTGAAGTGTCAGGTGAACAGATGATTAAGTTCAGTCCTATGCTTGATCATCTGTATTGGAGGATAGGACCCCTGATGTTACCATAAAGGGAATCTGTCACCTCCAAATGCTGTTAGCCCCTATGTGACAGTGAAATAAAAGTGATAACAAAGTAAAAGAAATAATAAAATAAATAAAAAAGTGATGAAAAGTAAAAAATAATTAAATATTAATAAAAAAAAAAAAAATTTAAAACCAGCCTGCCACCCTTGCTATCTGATTTGCATGAACACATGCACTTGTTGGGTGAGGGGGTTTCTAAAAAAAAAAAAAGAAAACAGTGTGATATGCATCAGCACTGTGTCTGCTGTGAACACACACCAGCTGCTGTGTGTTGCAGTGCACCTGCTTGTGTGAATGCAGCCAAAATGGCGGATTGTGGTATGGACAGGGACAACTGCGTGACCGTTCTGTTCAGATGGCGATTCGGTCCTCTGCTCAATGAAAATTTGAATTCACTACCCCTTAACAAGGCAATTGATCAAATGGTCTTTGTTGAAGGGGGGATCAGAATTTAATCTGGCTGATCCTCCACTTCAGCAGCAATCTTGTAAGCACGTGCCTTTTGCATAGGTGAGCAGGACTGGAAGGTGCCAGGAGCAATTTTTTCTCCTCGAAAATTATTTCAGCCCTTTTCAGCCCTGTCACTTTCTGCTGTTAGCATAGCTTTATGTTATCATTTGCACACTAGCAGTTTGCGGTCGTGATCTCTTTAAACAAGCACCAGCAATTCTCGCCTGATACTCTGCTACTGTGAACGGCAGCAACGAATCCACAGATGCGCCGTTTACCTGCGTGATTCATCTGTAAAGATTATCGCCGATAATCCTCATTCCATATGTCTGTGTTAACAATTATCTGAATTCTGGGAAAACGGCATGTCGATCCATGAAATGTGCTGAGAGCAAAATGAAATGACCGGACGCACAAAGGCCAGCAGCTAGATTAGTCTGCGATTTATTCATTCTGCGAAAGCTACTTAAGACTCCCTTGCTGGGAAATGAAGCTGTAATGGAGAAAAAGTAATTGTGAGTTAAACATGAAGAAATACGGCACAGCATGCCACAAAACATCACAAAAAAGCCAATCAAAATATCGCACACATCATGTAGACTTATATCAGGTATAATGGAACTGTCATAACAGGATTATTATTATTATTAAGATAATGGAAGAGAAAGCCTATGTGTACATAACAGCAAACACTGATACTGTCCCTTCCCTATGACCAATTCGACCAGTGTGTACAAACTGGCTTTTGAAGGACTTAAAGTACAATTATGCTTTAAATAACGCCTTCCTTCCCCCTTGCACCATACTTGCCTGCCCTTACTCCTCTAGGATCTTCGCTAGACAGACCATTGGTAGCATGCATGGGAAAAATCTCTATTAATTCCTATGGATAGGCCCCCACTGTTGGGGTGCATAATAAATAGCTTCTCCGTAGAAAATAATTTGGAGGTTTTGGGGGACATGCAGGGAAGAATGAGAGCCCAGCCAGGAGGCTTCTACAGTAGCAGCTCCCAGTGGGCCACACAGTGGAGATCTCAGAGGATAGAGGACAAGGGAGTATAAGATTCAGAGGGGGTCTTTAAAGGGTAATTCCACTTTCCCATGTGAATTTGGGAAAATTACTAAGGCAGGTATACTGTCCGTACCCTGTACTGCTGTGTAGCGCAGCCCTGCACTCTGGATTTTGAATTTCACTCGCACTCATTGGTCAGCTCTTCTAAACGTGCTGACCAATGGGAAGCGCTTATTGCTAAGAAGCACTTCTCATTGGTCAGCACGGTCAGCTGACCACGCTGAGCAATGAGTGCACACCATTTGCAGGCAAAATTCAAAATCCAGAGTGCAGGGCTGCTCTACACAGCAGTACGGGGTACGGAGGGGAAGGACTTTTCCCCGCCTGAGACCTGTGGGGGCGCTGGTGGTGCATGTTACATTATGGGGGGGTGGGGGGTTGTTTTGGGTGCTCATGGTGCACATTACTGGGGGTGGAGCTGGCCGGCGTCACGGCCAGCTTACTGATATCACTAGTGGCCAGGACATCTCTGGTTGCTAACATTCTTAGTACATTGGGAGGCTCTGGCCAGAAAGAAGGCTGCAGGCACACTGCTGCTCTGCCTGCCACTTGCCCCCTTCCCCCACATGACCCATAGAGATGCCACCTGAGGCAACAGCCATGGACTGCATCTTTATAGGGAGGGCCCTTTTTTAACCACCACAAAGCAGCATTTAGACTAGGAAAGGAATGGGTAGAATATGCCAGGAAAATACTTTCTTGTATTATACGGAGTCTAGACTCCAGAGATAGAGACATAATCCTGCCCCTTTACAAAGCATTAGTAAGACCTCATCTAGAATATGCAGTTCAGTTTTGGGCACCAATTCACAAAAAGGATGTTGTGGAACTGGAGAAAGTACAGTGAAGGTGAAGGGTGACTAAACTCAACTGGAGGAGCTCAGCTATGAGGAAAGATTATCTGACCTGAATTTGTTCTCTCTGGAGAAGAGGCGAATAAGGGGGGACATGATCACCATGTATAAATACATAAATGGTCCATATAGTGAGCTTGGTGCCAAATTATTCACTTTAAGGTCACTGCAAAGGACAAGGGGGCACTCTTTGCGTCTGGAGGAAAAGAGGTTTAACCTTTGCATACGGAAAATGTGGAATAGAGTACCCCAGGAACTAGATCTAGCTAGCTCAGTTAATTGTAAAAAAAAAAATGTATTTCTAAATGCACAGAATATTACTGGATTCTGAATTCTTATAGGTATATTAAGCATCAGTTCCTCTGAGTGTCTCCTACACTCCACCCGTCCACAGACACCGTCTGCGCCGCAACACCGCACCACAGGATTGCCGTCAGCCCGGTCTCCACTAATCCTCTACTAACTAAGTGGAGCCTCCACTTCGGCTTGAAAAAGAAAGTCTCACCTTCGAAACGCGCCACCGTCAGCCCGGTCTCCAATGATCCTCTGAGTGTCTCCTACACTCCACTCGTCCACAGACACCGTCTGCGCCGCAACACCCGCACCACAGGATTGCCATCAGCCCGGTCTCCACTAATCCTCTGAGTGTCTCCTACACTCCACCCGTCCACAGACACTGCCCGCACGTCAACACCTGCACTACAGGACTGCCGTCAGCCCGTCAACTCGGCCTCCACCGATCCTCTGAGTGTCACCTACACTCCACCCGTCTACAAACACCGCCCGCGCCGCAATACCCGCACTACAGGATTCCTCAGCAAACGCCTGCAGGTCACAGCTCCGTCGGATTGTCAGAAAGCCACGGCGGCTGAAAACTCTGCCATTCCGGCGCCTCCATCGCTCTCAAGTGCCCCCATCCAGGACACCACGTCGCTCCACCAACACAGCACCTGCCATCAGAGGACACCTGTGCCAGCAACCGTCCTGAGGACCATCCCACGGCCCACCGCCCAGGCACGTCTTTGGCCGCACCGTCATCGCTGAGAGTCGCCATTCAATATCCCCACGGTGAGTTACAGAAGCCCACCTCTTCTTCACCTAACCACTGCATACCTCACCCCCTCGCTTTTGTGTCTCCATCTGCCTGATTGGGTTTAATCGCTACGCCACCCTGGAAAAGAGGGATCACCCCCGCCACCACTCCATCCGCTTCACCGCAATCCGATGAGTACAAGCGAATGCTCACCCAGCCTCAGGTGAGTACATCACCAACGCTTACACCCTGCTCTACCACATTTATTGCGCCAGGTAGTGGCGCTTCCGTCTCGAATTTTTTGTTTCCCTATATTAAGCATCAGAGATTGTTGATCCAGGGAACATCCAATTGCCTTATGGGATCAGGAAGGATTTTTTTTTCACCTGGAGCAAATTGAACCATGCTTTATAGGGGTTTTTTTGCCTTCCTCTGGATCAACAGCGGGTATTTGGGCGCATAGCGTTCTGTTTAGGCTTTTCTTCTTTTTTTTCATATCTCTATAGGTTGAACTTGATGGACATGTGTCTTTTTTTCAACCTGACTATGTAACTATGTAACTATGCCACACACCAGGACCTTTATTGCTTTGCATAGTGCCAGCACTGAGAGTATGCTTACAAGAGGGAGCACAAACCTTATCAACCTTCTTTGCTGCTTTTTTATTGTCCAAGTACTGATGGAAGTGGATGTTGGACCAGGCAATAATCCTCAACTGTAGTGAAGTCTACAGGGAGGCCCAGGACCTGGCCTGTCTAAAACTGAGACAACACAATTACAAATCCTTTGGCAAGTGATATATGCGTTTCATCCCTGTGTTTAGCTGCTTTCTTGTAATTTATGTATAATTATCCCTATTAGGTTTATATTGCATGAGATATTATACAGTACATTACAGAGCACACACAGAGAACCATTTTGTCAACATTAATCAAGTGGAACACAACTGTAGGAAACAGGCCAATTGAGTTTGCTGACTCTGTACTGTTCAGTGAACTTTATATCACACGCAAAGCCACAAAGATCTGCTATAACATAAGACATTGGGAAATTGGATTGGGGGGAACATAAATGAATTGTGAATCCGGTTGATAATATGTGGCAAGGTTAGAAGCCATTCCCTCTAGCTGCCTCCTGTTCCAGAGGAAAGGAAAGATTCTGTAATATAAGACAGAGCCACAGATGGAGACAGCAAACAGAAGAGAATCCTTTATACCGCAATTATTATTTATCATACGTGTTTGATGTGGTGGACGGTTCAATGTCAGAAAACACATAATTGTAGCAGTATAGAGAGGATAATGTGTATTTTTGTGGCGTTAGCTGTTATTATAAATGTATTATTGTTGACAGTTTGCCTCCCTCCTTTTCTTTTTCCGGCACTTCACTATACTGATACTGTGAGTGTATGCGCAAGGTCTAAAAACAGGTCTCTGTAAATTACAGTATTGTGTATTCATGATTATTCTCTGTGCCATTTGTGTCACGTTTTCTCAGTGTTCAAAGACATGTGGGAGCGGAGCCCGCAAAAGAGACGTCATTTGCCCAAAGGAGAATCGCTGTGATCTGAAAAAGATTCCCGCAATTATAATAAACTGCAGCCAAGAAGAGCCGTGTGTCAGCTGGAGGACAAATAACTGGACAGAGGTAAAATACATAGTAAATGTTAGATGAATAGATGCAGGTTGATTGCATTAGCATTGCTTTCCAACTATGTGTCCCCTCACTCTACTTTCTACGTGCTCATCCCTGGTTTCCTTTTGCATGTGCCTTTGCATTGCAACGTTCTTGTCTGTCTAATCTTCTCAACATTTGTACTCTTTATGTTGTCTGGTCTTAAATGACCTCCATGGTCTGACCCCTGCTCTTGCTGTCTGATTCCTGTGGATCAGGTAACTCTATAATGAGGATGAACCCCAAGAAAGTGGTGGAATATGATAAGTATGCGAAACAAAGGTAGTCCAGAACTTTGAGCTAAGGACCTGGACCGGGACAACTGAAAATCATTACAGCAAGTTTCCGGCAATTTCAAGAACCTTCAAACAAATTGTAATTACTAATACATACAATCTTATAGTAAGCAATTAGCGATTTGACTTGCCCCATGTTCAATAAAGGCCTCTTGATTCTATCTATTAAAAATAATGGATTATTGGGCTCTTTCTTTTTTCTTTATTTTGAAGGAAGGTTGAAACTGAAATCAAAGAATAGACTTTCCAATTATATGGCCAGCTTCACAGTCAACTTTGTTGAACAACAACCCCACTGTAAGCAAGGTGCAAAGGAGACTGATGTGAGGGTAGATTGTAGATAACTCCCAAACATCTCCATTTCAGGTCAGCTGGTTTAAATAGCAGCAGTATGCCATATCTACATGTACACTTTGAATAGAATGGGTGGACTTGGAATGTTTTCACTGTTGTCTGGGTCCACACCAGTAGATAACCTCAACCATGGCTATAACTGTTCTGTCTCAACCACCAATTTATGTATTTGCACATACCTTCCTGAGACTCGTCTGTATGGATAGCATAAAAACCTACTAAGCAGGCGGGGTCCAACTCACCAAGAAGACCCGGAGAAGAATCCAATGTAGTTTATTCAGGTTTGACAATACAGAGGATGTGATTCTTTGTCTTTCTCAGAGGTGCAAAGACATTTATATCGGAAGCCATGCACAGAACCATCTTACACAGTAAAGGTGAAGTAAAAGAAACCAGGAGGGAGAGGCTGGGGGTGTCTAACTAGAAGACTGTACCAATTAGCACTAAACATGAGGGAAGTTGAATGGTGAATATACCAAAATGTATAAAGAAATTATGCTGTAGTAGTGTTAATCTACTACTAGTTGTCAGGAGCAAGCCATAACATGATGATAAGCAATAAAATACAGTAGGTGCAATAAGAATAACAGAAAACAATACTGCCTGTAGCAGCACAGTAACAGACAAGAAGTGTGACTTAACATGAGAGCTACTTGTGTCAACTGCCTAACTATCCACCATATATACCTATAGAAAAGCCAATAGAGGGTGACGGCAGCCATTAGTACAGCGTATAACACAACAACAGACAGGTTGGAAAGATTCCAGGTTCCAGAAAAACAGCAAATTGGAAAGGCCAATGAAAAGGATACACACACTGAGTATAAATGCAGGCCAAACACTCCACAGAAGTGGCAGAGATGTACAGTTAGACAGATGTCAGAGGAAAACAGACCTCTATCCACCATAGGAGCAAACAGACAAACCTGTGTATGAGGTGTGGACTGGAAGCTGTGACCTTGATATAAAGTTCACTAATGAGAGTATGTGTGCACATCAGAGACCTAAGCTGCAGTGCTGAGTAACAACTGGCAGAGTTCACAGAGTTAACATCTGAGAAAAAAAAAAAAAGGTAAAGAGATAGATTTACACACATACACAGTATATAGGGAATTGTGGTCTTTTATTTAAAAGTATTCATGCTCCACATATATCCTAAACTGTAATTTAGCCATTCTGTTGCTGTAATTAAGTTTAACACACAATGTAATGGTTATTTCAGTGTTCAGCTTCTTGTGGAGAAGGCATCCAACAAAGAACCGCCTGGTGCGAGGATACTGATAATAACAGAACAGTAAACACAAGCCTGTGTGAGAAGGAGCCTAAACCTCAGGACATTAAGGAATGCAAGAGCCAAGAGTGCCCAAAGAGCACAGGTAACATACAGGATGAATAACACACTGCTGCCAAGATGGATTTGTTTCTTTTTATGTATTTAAGTGACATACTAATAGCATCAGCATTTTCCCCTGTAACACCCCCTTACCCCTGGACAGAGGAGGATGATTCCCAAGCAGTTCAGTGAGCTAGCATTTCAACTCCTTGACTTTTTCGTGGGATGAAAGGAATTGGGCAACAGTCACTTTAGTAAGTTTAAAGAGTTTAATAAATCACAAAAAAACTTGAAGAAAGAGGGTTAGGGCATAGAATACCCGAAAATAGGCAAAAATGGGTGCAGACCTCTCCTCTATCATCAGTTAGAACAGGCTATGGGCCTTTAAGCTGTGACAGGTAATCTGTATTTGTGAATTACTAAGCACAACCACGTATCATAAGTATCTTCTAGGATGAGCAGCTAGAAAATCTTGCAATGTCCACCGGCAGCAGCTTATACTTAGCTCTCCAGAACACTATTCAGCAGAGAAGCCTCTTCCCAAGATGCTCCACACAGGCAGCCATATTTCTGCTACACTCCTTCTAGATGTACCCTTCCATAAAGCAGCATACATTCCATAGGCCCAAGCTCAGGTCACACTTTTAGCAAAGACCCTTCCCAAGCAGCAATGCTGGGAGGCAGAGACTTCCAACACATCCTCTCTGTAGTAAATGCTGTGCCTTATAATGCTATGCTACAGTTAGTGCCTTATACTGCTGTATTATAAGCAGTACCTCATACTTCTACTATTTCCCACAGTTGTCTCCCTCTGTGTCTCAGGCTGTGAAGGTAGGTTACGTTAAGGACAAGTTTGCTTTTGGGGAACATACCCTTTAATAAATCGTAGACCCCCTGAGTGTAGCCTGATTGGTAAATACTCCCCTTTCCTCCCATTCCAGTGGTGGGGCCTGTGAATTTAAGCAAAAAAATAGATGGTGAGCAGTGAATCTGAGTTATAGAAGATGGTGGACAGTAAATGTAATGGTGGGCACTAAATTTGAGCTGTAGAAGTTAGCGGCAGTGAATTTGAGCTGAATAAGGTGGGGGTAGGCGCACTGAATTTAAACTGAAGAAGATATGGACAGTGAATCTTAGTGAAAGTAGGTGTGGGCATTGGATTATTTGAGGTGAAGAAGTTGGTGGGAAGTGAATTAAATCTGAAAACAGTGGGGAGGGGGCGGTAAATGTGAGCTGAAGAAGATTGGGGCAGTGAATCTGAGCTGAAGAAGATTTTTGACAGTTAAATTAATTTGAATAAGGTAGGTGCAGTGAACCTGAGCTGAAGAAGGTGGTGGCAGTTCATTTCAGCTGAAAAAGAGGGTGAGAGCACTAAATCTAATGGATTTAGTGGAAGTAGGGGTGGGCAATGGATTTGATGTGAAGAAGTTGGTGGCCAGTGAGTTAAATCTGAAAAAAGTGGGGAGCGAGCAGTAAATGTAAGGTTAAGAAGATTGGGGCCATCAATCTAAGCTGAAGAAGATGGGGGCAGTGAATTAGAGCTGAAGAAGGTGAAGGGCATTTAATCTGAGCTGAAGAAGATGGTTGGCAGTAAAATTAAATTGAAGAAGGTGGGGGCAGTGAACCTAAGCTGAAGGACAGTGAATCTGAGCTGAAGAAGATTGTTGGTAGTTAAATTAGGTTGAATAAGATAGGAATAGTGAACCTGAGCTGAAGAAGATGGTTGCAGTGAATTTAAGCTGAAGATGAGGGCCGGGGCAGTGAATCTAAACTCAAGAAGATATGCATCAGTGAATATGAGTGGAAGTAGGGGTGGGGAGTGGATTTGTGGTGAAGAAAATTGGGGCAGTGCATTAGAGCTGAAGAAAGTGAAGCGCATTGAATCTGAGCTGAAGAAGATGGTGGTAGTGAATTTTAGCTGAAGAAGGGGGACAATAAAATGTGAGCTGAGGAAGACTGGAGCAGTGGATCTGAGCCAAAGAAAATAGGAGCAGTAAATATAGGCTAAAAAAAGGATGTTGAGCAGTAAGTCTGAGGTCAAAAGGGTGTTGGTAATGAATTTAAGATAAAGAATGTAATGGGCAACGAATCTGAGTGGAAGTAGGTGGCAGGCAGTGAATCTGAGCTGAATATGATGGTGGCCAGTGAGTCTGAGCTGAATAAGGTAGTTAGCAGTGAATTTGAGCTGAAGAAGGTGATGGGCAGTGAATCTAAACAGAAGAAGTTGGTGGACAGTGAATCATATTAGAAACAGTTGGTGGGCAGTGAATCTAAGCGTAAGAAGCTGAAACGGAAAGGCCATTCTTAATAACATTAAATTACAACATGGCCTGAGCAGCAATTTTACATGCTATATTATTTGTTTAACGGAAGTAGAGTTGTCCTTTAAAGTGCAGCCAGTTGATAAAGGTGCAGCTGCCTTTTCAGCCCATTTTTGGACTTGAATTTGACATGCCTGTTGTAGAGTATATGAGTATATGTGAGTATATATAGAGTATATGTGAAACTCTCCCTTAACATGCATTCCATCTGGCTGGCGTTCATCGTTGTGATGAGCTACAGATTTTTCCAAAGAGTAACTGCGAGAAAGTATTTGAATGTTTGCAGCATAGTTGCTGAGATTGAATGCTTATTCTACATCTATGCATTGGTCAGTGAAATAGCACTAAATTACAGTCCAATTCCATCACATTGACTTGTAATATGCTGAGTTTGCACAGATGACTTTAGCCTTTCAGACTGTATCATTATATGCAGTCAGCACTGTCCGTATCTCATGAAGGATTCAATCCCGAGGCTTGCTTTATTTCTGAAACAAGACACAATTGGGGCTCGCAGTATGGATTTCTGTATGTTGATGTATGTGGTTATTGATCCGTCACATTTATAGGCATTTGGAGCAGATGGCTATAGCCAGGTTGAAATATTCTGACAGTAAGTTGCTTTAATGAGTACAGATGTTTACTGCTCAGCATTGATATCACCATATTGCTCTCTGCTGCATGACTGTAAGATTGAACTCCAGGCAGATATAAAATACACAAATGTATGCAATTCTGAATTCATTAATACATCCTAAATGTGTTTTAATGCAAGCAGTGTATGTACCTAAATTTGACTTGGTATTAGCCTCTTGCAGTTCCTGTACAGCAGGGCAGACTGAGGCAGGGGGGAAGCAACACAAGGAACCAATCCATTTTGCTGTAGTGCAAGGAGCATGATAATAGGAGGAGGGAGAGAGCAGAGTGACAAAGAGATGAGCTCATTAGGTCAAGCATTTCATGTTTCTCTCTCTCTCTCTCTCTCTCTCTCTCTCTCTCTCTCTCTCTCTCTCTCACTCTCAGCAAGGTGCAAACTTCACACATAAATTAACAGCATGAGAAGGAGGTTGCACAATAGCTTTCTGCCTTATCTTTTCGCATATTATCAAGTGCTGGCTGAAACTGCTGACTGTTATGTTGATCAGAAATGGTCATGATCTGGAATGGTGATGTCAGCAGTCATATTGCCCATGTACATATGGAAGCTTCTAATTACTCCCTCCATCCTTCCCTCTTCTTTCATTTCTTCCCTCCTTTCTTTATCCTTCCTCCCATCTTTTTTCTTTCTTTCTTTCTTTCTTTCTTTCTTTCTTTCTTTCTTTCTTTCTTTCTTTCTTTCTTTCTTTCTTTCTTTCTTTCTTTCTTTCTTTCTTTCTTTCTTTCCTTCCATCCTTTCTTTATCCTTCCTATGATATTTCTTCTTTCCCTCTTTTTCCTTCCTTCCATCCCTTTCCTTCTTCCCTCCTTTCCTTTCCTCTTTCTTCCTTCCTCCTTTCCTCCTCCTTCCTTCCCTCTCTCTTTCTTTCCTTCCTTTCCTCCTCCTTCCTTTCCTCTCTTTCCTTCTCCTTCCTTCTTTCTTTCCTTTCCTTCCCCCATCCCTTCTCTCCCCTCCTTTCCTCTTTCTTCCTTCCTCCCCCTTCCCATCTTCCTTCCTTCCCTCTCGTTCTTTCTTCCTTTCCCCCTCCTTCATTCCCTCTCTTTCTTCCTTCCTTACTTCCTCCCTCCCTCCTTCCCTTTCCCCATCGCTATCCCTTCTCCCTTCCCTGTTCCTTCTTCCTCCTTCCCTTCTTTCTTTCTTTTCTTTTCTTTTTCCCCACTTAAAACAAATCTTTATTGCCAGCTAGGTAAGGTCTAAAAATAATTCTTGGAGACAAACAGAACGAGCTAGTGTACATTTGCAGAATACCTTCAGTGTAGCACGGTCTGTGAGCAATCAAATCCACTTTCCTATAAAAGCATATTTATGATGTTTTTAATGATGAGAATAAATGAGTCCAGTATGTCCTGCATCCAATTATGCGGGGTCATCCTCATGTCTTCATTTCACTAATGAGTAAAGTGCATGTAGATGGAGTTAATTTGTACTGGATACTTCTTCCATTACTGTGAAATAAAATGCTTGTAGGTTATATAAACTATTAAGTAGCGTAACTTATAGTATGTCTGTGATTGAGTAAATAGAGGAAGATAAGGGGCTGTAACATTAGTAAGTAAGGTCTTCAATGTCATTTCTGTGTATTCTGGAGGGTTACATTTACATACTAATGCATTTTAATTGGACTTTTATTACCAGTGTGTCAAGTTGTTTTCAGCGTTTAATGTTTTCCTTTTCTGTCTAATAATGATTACTGTTTATATTGTATTTTTAAGTAAATGTAAAAAAATAGACATTTAAACCTATAATATATATATATGTATGCAGGGGTATTTTTTTTTTATGTGTATGGAGAGGGGGAGTGTATTATGTTATATGTGCAGGGGTAGCTTTTTTTTTAATG